CCAACTTTCGCATGCATATGAGGTTATTGGAAATACCATGGTTTGGGTCAGGTGCACCTTAGTCCTCAAGCTGACATCTTTACTCTTCAACACTTTAAAAAGGTCTTATGCAGCAGATTTGCCTAATGCAATACCCCGTTTGATCTTTTGACTGCTGCTTCCATGAGTGTTGATAGTTGATCCAAGAAGAAAGTTAGTTATATCATAAATAGTACCTATTGATAACCTATTAGGATGAGACACTTGAAGGGTGCCCTACTATTAGCCTCTAACAACTGACCTGCTTGAAAGCCAAAAAGTTCTTTTTATTTCCACTGTGAAGTTTCCACTGCAGTCCTGTGGTTGCGGTCCTAACTGAAGAGGTGTCCTGAAGTTTAGAAGTATTTTAAAAGCATTGTACCTTGAGGGAAATTTGGTTTGAAGGTACTCTGTGCAAAGAGATTATTGATAAGGGGAGACGGCAACTAACCACAAATTCCATGAACATAGCTTTCATGGTGCATGCATGTGTTCCATGCAAGCTGCTAACAGTACATCCCTAAAAAATCACCAACTCTACATCTGTACTTCATGTTCAACTACATTTGGGAAATAGCCTGAGGAGGCTAGGGACATAATACTGGGTGTGAAATTGAGACAAAGGCATTGACAAATGCCTGAAAAGAGAAAATTCACTTGTCAAAACATTTACTGGATAATACAAAGCTAGTAAATCGGAAATGTGATCTTTTGAAAACAAATTTTGATAAATACCAAGAATGATCATTTTTCCCAATTCTCATCACAGAAGGATTTGTTTAGATATGTTAGTGCTGTGAACGAGAAAGCAATGTAGGGGGTAAAACAGACCCACTATTAAGGTGACTTGACAAACCAGATGACATCACATGGACAAATACTCTGAAAAAATACTGTGAGAAAAAACCATAAACAACATATGGGGGAGGGACACAGTTAAGGCATCTTAAAAAAAAAAAAAAACCACATGGCTTTGGCTTATTAAAATATTTTACACTATTTTAATATATATATATATATATATAAAAGATTTGAAAGCATCTGGAAAACACGCAGATTGTTTGAAAACCCTGCATGGCAAATTGAGACAATTTGCAAGCATCATTCAGATGTTTGCCAAGGAAAAGAAATCCTCTTTCCTGGTGACGTTACAATGGGTGGTACAGGGTCCCAGGGTCTCTTATCTTATACTAGATGGTAACCCAGAGGTCTGTGCAGCAGTTACAAACAAGGCATTATTGTCTGCAAGGGAAGGGACTGTGGAATTTCCATTGGTTGGGGAACAGCCCAGCTTTAGTTTTTCCAGATACTCTGCATGGACGGGTTTATGACATTGGAGAACTTTGATGGCATCTTCTACTTTAAACCATTCTCTCTTCCTTCCTAAAAACAAAACAAAACAAAACAAACGGCATTGGTTGGCTACACAGTCAAGTTTTGCATAAGGAATAACTTTTTTTTTTTTATAAGAAATGTCTTTCTTAGACACCTATTGCATGTCCAATTCCCACATGCAAACAGGTAGGCAAGGGCAGGCACTTCATTGTCTTCCACTGAGAGGAAAGAGAACATTTTAAGGAGTGAATTGTGTACAACACTGCTAGGTATTATTGGAAAACAGTGTTAGGAGAATTGAGTCACCCAGAGAAGAAAGTACTGTCAAATCTTAGGCATTACTAGGTAGCACATTTGGTACTTTTAGTCCCCAAAAGATATGACTGAGGCTAGGTAAATGGTCAACAGTTTAGGAAATCAAGATGTACTTCCAACTAAAGGACAAGAGCTTGAGGCCTTTAGCTTTACTATCAGTATCTCAACACATCAGGGCAGTCAGGAACTGTGTGTGCGTCTGTGGCTTAGGAGTAGGGAGGGGAAAGACAACAGAATGCCTGAGCTATACTACTGAGCCAAGAGTTGTACCTTCCCAAAACACTAACCCACTCCCACTGAGCTGATTCAGACTCAGTGACCCTATAGGACACAGTAGAACCTCTCCACAGGATTTCCAGGACTCTTAATGTTTACAGGAGCAGTCAGTCCTTTGTTTTTCTCCCATGGAGCAGCTGATGGGTTTGAACCACCGACCTTGTAGTTAGCAGCCCAGTGCTTAACCCATTGTTCCATGAGGGCTCCTGTACAAGACCCTTGAATTAAAGAGCATGTATATAACCCTGAAATCTGGTTATGTGAAAGCCAAACTGGTTGTATATAGTACTGGGATTTAAGAATTCCTAATAACGAAATACACATAACTTTCCAATGCAAACCTCATGATTAAGCAGTCTAAGCTGATTAAATACCACGAGACGTACGACAAGTATGACAAGTGGCCCATCATATCTCTGTAAGTACAGGGCATGTGAATAGGAACAGCATACCAGGGAAGAACCCTGAAGATTGTTCAGATATAGATACTGACCTTCCTTTCTCCAAGAGAAGGCTCTTACACACTGTCCAGTCAGTTCTAACTCATAGTTACCCTGTACAGGGGGATTCCAAGGAGTGGCTAGTGGGTTTGAACCGCCAACCTTGTGGTGTGCAGTCCAGTGCAGATCCTACAGTACCACACCCGGCGATTCTAATTATGATGCAGGTATGTAGTATTTGAATTAAGAAAATTCAGGTAGCAAAAGGAAAGGAAAATTACCTATATTAACAGAATCTTCCCAATCTTCTAATATTTCTGTGACAGTAAGAACATAAACATATGTTCTGTGCTTTCGGTCTTGGTTCTGCTTGAATATAAAAAGGAAAAAAAAACCCATTTTAATCTGCAAGCGTACATAGCTATGTACAAAACACAGTGTCTGCTCATTAGCTTAGTAGATTCGCCAACACAGGCAAGTATACTCAGTTGTGCAATCCAGCACAGATGTGAGCTTACGTAAGACAAAACATTCAAAATAAGAAGACAGGAGATTAGAAATTGGGCTTTCTTTTCTTAATCCACCCTAATGCAGTGAAACTGTCAATACGAAACTTTTAGCGCTTTGTTTAATTTTCTATTTAACAAGTTATTTTCATAAGGAAGAAAATCTCAGGCTGTGTGTGAATGCCTCTGCACTGAAGGAAGACCAGTATTCCTGCTGTGTTACTCTAGGTTGTATCCCCTGGAGCGACTCCTAATGCTGGCAGCCTTTTCAAGCTGCAGAAAACTGCTTCCTTTGGGGCCTCTGCAGGGCAGATAGCCCCTACTTCTTTAGAACATTCCTCTCATGAGATCTATCAAGATGCTCAGAGATCACAGCTGTAGAAACAACTCTGACTGGGGATTTTTAGATTGCCCAGAGATTACCGACTGTTGAAAAGGCACAGATTCAACTGGGCTGGGATGAAGTCAAAATATTGGTATTTTTTAATTCCTCAGATGAACTAGTCTGCACAGCCAGGTTTGGAAAGACCTCAGAGTCTGTCCATTTCATTTTTACCCACTTAAAACTGCTTTTTAAACTTGTCTATAAATTCAAAATTAAACACAGGTTGGCACTTAAGATGAAGGAACCCAACCAAGCTAATTGCTGTTGATTAGGTACGACTTAAAAAAAAAACCACAAACATTTTCATTGCTTTAAGAATCAGTTGTCTGACCACTATGGCTAGTACATAAATACATTTTTTTAATGCTATATTCCTCAATTCATTAAATTCACTGGTGAAGGTTAAGACCATTCTAATTTTCCCTCATGGTTCCTAGACGGAAAGGTACGTTGGTTAATATTTTCTTCTCACATTCTATGAATTTAAATAGCATTCCTCAAGCACTTGATATTATTACCTGTAATATACAACTTTTATTGATAATTTAGAGGGTTTCTTCAAAAACTTTGTTGTCAGCATATTGACAAAGTTGTTCCATGGCTACTCCGGATCACAGAAAGCTCTCAATATGTTTTCCATTCTAACCAGAAGATGGCGCTATTTAACTGGGTAAGCAAATACTGACGTCTGGACAAGGATGCAGAAGAAGAACCTGGAAGACTTTACTCCTAATGGTTACTCTTGTGGGAGGTAACCAACTCTACCATGTTCCATAAAAATCAGGACTTTTCTTTTAAATTATAGCCAATAGGTTTAAAAATGAAATTTATTGTTCCAGCAGAAGGAGCACGCTAACCCTAACCTTTAAACAATATCTTGGAGGCAGAGGGTGGGGGTATGAAGAGAAACCAGTAAAACTCATCGTGTTTCTGGTATGTTGTGTATCTTGTCTGAAACTGGAATGGAAACAGTCTTTGAAAACAGCTTGGGTCTCATGACCTTACTTCGTTGTCCTCATCTTCCATCATGGAATACCTATCACTTCCAATTCCATCCTGCCCTTGACAACAAGGGGTTAAATGGAGCAGAACTCTATTCTGTTGGTGTCAATCCAATTCAGTCCTTTTAAGGATAAAGTCATTGAGCCTCGTGACTCATTGGGGAATGGATACATTTTCCCCAAATCTTCCAAAGACACCCAAGCACGTTGGGTGATGCTTTAGATATTGAATCTCCTAAAAAGTCTACATAGCTAGACAATGTACAGTGAATGAGAGAAATCTTTCTATGTTCAATCCAATTAATTATCATGTGGAAGTAATTACTACCATTATGATGTTGTATAAAACTATACAATTGATGGCATATAAAAAAATTAATTCGCTTTTACTTGTTGTTGCAAAGTGCCATCGAGTCAGTTCTGACCCATAGCGACTCTTTATAGGGTTTCCAAGGAGCAGCTGGTGAGCTTGAACCGCCAACCATATAGTTCAAACGGCTCTGAAGTCGGGTGCATTAACCCACAGTGCCACACCAGAACTCCTTACACCTCCCTCCTAATCCTTAAGATTTACTGATTTACTTGCCTAATGATAAATCAGGCTGCCAGACCAGATCATTTGGATGACTCTATTAATACTAACCAGTCAGGAGGATTACTTTGGGAACTCACCTCAAATATGCCCAGGAGTCTCCCTAGTTTTCCTTTGACACCAGCCTATTTAAAAAAAAAAAAAAATCAATTTATTAAAAATGCAGTTTTAACCTTTTCATAACCAAAACTGAATGCTGGCTGTTTTGAAATCTGAATATGATAGGCCCACCCACACCAAACTTCTGTGCCTTTTTTTTGCCTGCACCAGCATTCACAATGTGTGATTTGCCATAACAACACAGCTTAATTTATTCTACATTTAACCTCCTATTGATGAGGTCTGCCATTGGTTTTCTAAGAAATGGCAAAGACTGATAGAAATTCGACAGTCTTCCAATTTAGGACAGCATTCATGAATGAAAACAGACTGTTCTGCATAAATAAATAGTGGATTCCCCTTTCTTTCTTAAGGGCCTATTCTTCCTTCCTAGTTTTCCCATGGCTCAGGCAATTCAATTCTTTCCAAATACTACCCTTCTACTGCAAAGTCCTCATTGCTCATAGCTAGACTGGTCTGGAAATTCAGTGTGCTCCCTGCTTAAATCCAATTACAGATGGATAATTGCTTGCTATATATTGTTTTCTTGGTGTTCTACCCTCAGAAAGTTGCTCATACGTCAAAGTTCCTTTGACGCCTTTCCTATATATACACTGAGTCCCAGTGAGAGAGTTTCAGCAATCACTGCCTGTTTATACCATAACTGCTATTCAGCAACTTCAGATGGTGCTTAATGTCTGGTCTGCTTGCCAGTGCATAAAAAAGCACGTTCTATCCAATACTTACCAAGTGCAAGAAGCAGGCCATGTATATGCTTTTGCACATGTGTGTATACCAGATTTTAATGAACTTTAAGACAAGGCAGGTAAAATAAAGCAATGTGCTCTCATTAATTTGAATGAGAATGAGGTGGAGCCCAGGATTCATATTTCTGAGCATTCTTGCTCAGGTAATACTAATCTAACTCTGGGGTATGGCTGTCCCGTTCTACAATTCCAGGGGCTTTCCACAGGACATTTTAGCCCATTTTACCAGGTAGGAAACACTACCTTTTTTGGAATATGCTAGCTCTAATCACATGCTTAAAAATATCACACCACACAAAACTAAAGCCCCGTGTGACCTGCCCATCTGGCCATCTCCTGAGTGTCCTCCTATAAAATCTCCAAATACAGACAGTGTGAAGGAGAACAAGCAAGCTTCTCTTCATCTCACCTCTTCATAAACTTCCCTCTCAGCAGCGCCTCCCGGTTCTTCCTCAGGCTCCATTCCGCCTCCGGGGACAATCCACTGGTCCGGATACCGACTACTACTCACTAGCAGCACCTACAAGAAGGCCCACTGTTACAACACGTTCCTTCTCTCTCTTACCTACTTAGCTGGTGCCCTGGTCGGGTGCTGCAGGATAAGCATTGGAATGCAATCAGTAGCTCCTATATAGATAGGGTCACTCAATGGCGACAACCTACTTAGTTAGCTTGAATTGAACCAGACAACTCTCATAAACTCAGCCCCATGCTTTTCAAGGTTGCAAATATCACTAAAAAATTTTTCAGTATAATTATTAGGGGTACACATGAAAACCGAAAAAGCAGGTGACCGTCTTTTAAAACATGGTCTTTATATGAAATTAGAATTCAAGAACAGCATGATCACAATACTAAATCATTCTGTACCTAGTGAGCTCATTTAAACTACCAGATTCAATGTAATAAAACCCCTGAATAGTAGGAAAGGATGAAAACAAAGACTTGGTTTATTACCACCCCCAGAACTGTATGCACTGAGGTGTGTGGTACATCACTGACTCTTGAATTATAGAATCCTTCATTAGCGGCTCTTTCCAAATTTATGGCTATGTGACCATAGGCAAGTCAACTGCTCCCAGCCAGTTCCCTCATCTATAACGTGGTGAGAATACTTAGAGATGACTGATACAAGGAGCAAGGAAATGCATGGGAAGCCAATGCTTGGTAACGAGAATGTGCTCGTTAGTGGGTGGAAAGTGGGTGCGTTCATATTCCAAACCTACAAAAACAAGCAGAATCCACTCCTGTTTCCATTACCAACCAAACAACCGAGCCGACTGTCATGAAGCCGATTCCAACTCACAGAGACCCTGTACAGCGTTTCTGAAACAAAATCTTTGTGGGAGCGGGCAGGCTCATCACTCTTCTACTGAGCAGCTGGGGAGTTTGAACCACTGGCCTTGTGGTCACCACCCAATGCCTAACCTGGAGTTCCACCAAGACTCCTTCGTTTTGATAACAGACAGCTGTAATTTATAATTGGGAGTCCTGGTGCTGTGGGTGAATGCACTGGACTGCAAGCCGATTTGAACTGCAAGGTCGGTGGTCCAAGCTCACCACCTGCTCCTCAGAAACCCTATACAGGGCTGCTATGGGTCGGAACTGCTTGATGGCACTTAACACCACCAATGTAATTTATAATCTAGAATAAGGGTTGGCAAATTGTGGCCTACCACCTGGTTTTGTACAGCCTGCAAGCTGAGACTGATCTGTACATTGCTCAATTTTATGAAATTCAAATATACTCACAATCATTCATTTACTTATTTATCCATGGTGGCTTTGTGTTATAATGCAGATTTGTGTGATTGCGACAGAGACTGGATATGGACCACAAACTGGAAACATCTGTGGACCTCGGATCCAGAACAAAATTAAAATGAAGTCTGCAAGATCTTTTAAAAGAAAAAATCTATGTTTCATAGACAAATACTGTGGATATTAACAAACCTCTTGAAACGGGTATTATTACATATCCAATTTACAAATGAAAATTAATTTGCGGGCTGTTTGTTAGTTGAAATTCACCAACTTAAAAAATGGTGTTGGTGTTAAGTGCTGGCGAGTTGGTTTTGACTCATAGCGACCCAGTATAGGGTTTCCAAGGAGTGGCTGGTGGGTTTGAACCATTGACCTTGTGGTTAGCAGTCCATTGCTTATTCTATAGTGCTTCTGTTCTCTCAACCAATGGAGTTGCATCAGCATATCAATTAGGCTTGTTCCCAGATTATGGTAGTTGTTTTATTATAATTACTGAGATTTAATTAATAAGGACAGAACAGAGTATATAAAAAAGACTAATCTAAAAGCTCTGTAAAGATTCATTAAAGGTGGGTTAATAAAAACTGCTACTGAATTACTATATTTTGGGCAAATAATGCCCGTTGCACAGTTCTGCATCCATGCCAGGAATGCTATACCACTATTTCTAACATGCTGATAGTGTCATTTCCCAACCCCCTCCTGGTCCAATGGACTGAATCTAAGACTTCATGTAAGTTTTTGTCTTGGTGCCTGAAGTGTATGTTTGGTTCCTACCCTCAGACACTTACCAGACTACCCTAGAGCAGATGTCCTTCCCTGCTCTCAAAATCACTTTCTCCAGTGCAGAAGAAGTTATTTTTTCACACTGGGAAATAGCCCTCAGCAGGACAGCCAGCCCTAGTCCAGGAGGACATGAGTCTGCACACAGGCTCATTTAACAGAGGGGCCCGTGCATCCCTTGTTGGGATGAGCTGGCCCTGACTCGGGCATCCATGGGTACCGGCTGTCACCCACCATGGGGTCAGCTTTCCCTGTGACGTACCTGGGCATAGATCAGCTACAAGGAACTCAAAACACTCAGGCCTGGCCATGAACTGTTGCAGAGCAAACATACAATTTCAATGATTTATTTACACGATCCATGACATCGTGACTATGGCTTACACCTGGTATTATACAAGTATGATCAAAAGTAACATGTGGGCTATTGACTGAGGGTGAATGAGGCCGAAACTCACTTTCAGAAATGTCATGAGACATAGGTGGTGCAAGCCAGAACTTAGATGCACAGAGCTCCCAAGGAAAGGCTGGTGGGTTTGAACCACAGACCTTGTAGTTAACAGTCCAATGTGTAACCTATAGCAACACACTAGGACTCTCTGCATATTGGTACGTATGGGCAAATTATTTATGTGGATGCACCATCCACATAAATAACAGACGAGACTGTACTGTAAAAGACTGGAAAAAAGAAAACCCCCAGAATGATTCTGTATCAGCACCTCTAAGTCCAAACTTGAAATGAATGGCAACCAGATTTCACCTTTGCATTCAAAAGAGAGGTATTCAAAGGTCTTGGCCTCGTATCAAGATGGTCAAACGAAGTGTCATATTTTAAATTAAAATAAAAAATGTTTATGGTATGAAAACATTAAATCAGCTATTGGTCCCTTTTCAGGCCGGTAGGTGTGGATTGACACAGTGGTAGCAACAATGGGCAGTGCTTCGCTCTATTGTTTGTAGGGTTGCTATGAGTCAGTACCGACTCAATGGCACCTACCAACAAAGGTGTAGAACCGGAGCAGTCTGGTTTGTGTGGACTGGACTGACTTCTTGATACACATGCTATGGTCTCTAAGCAACTTCCTGGATTACACTGAGAATGGGACAGGGCAGGTGCAGCCACTAGAAAAGTACAGCCTCATACAGTAAACAGGAAGTGTTTTTACCTCAAAACCATCTACATTCAAAACGTGTGCATCCTGAAAAAATGAAATCCAAAGTGTCATACATCTAGTTCAATGACTATTTTGTACTCAATTTCCCAAGGTAGTCTTTAAGAACTAAGTTGTTGTTAAGTGCCGCTGAGTTGGTTCTGATGCATAGCGATCTCGTGTAGGGTTTCCAAAGAGCAGCTGGTGGGTTTGAACTGCCGAACCTTGTGTTTTGCTGTCCAGTGCTGATCCTACAGCACCACACTAAGAGCTAAAGCACATAAGGTTAATAACGTTGAAAAATCCATCAGTATAGACGGCACCTGCTTTTTGAACCACCTCTTAAGCCTCAAACTTAAAACCAAACATTTACTTACAGGGCACCATTAAAATATTACCAAAGCTTTTCTCCTCCAGCCAAGGACATGGAACACCTGTAGGGTTCACCATCTCCCTTTCATCACTACTTTCCAGAAAGGTAACTGACAATACACATAACCCAATGCTGTCACAGTCCCTCCCACTCATAGTGACCCCATAGGACTGAGCAGAACTGCCCCGTAGGGTTTCCTAGGCTACAATCTTTACAGAAACAGACAACCATATCTTTCTTCCATGGAACAAGGTGGGTTGGAACTGCTAACCTTGTGGTTCGCAGTCCAGTGCTTTCCTATAGTCCAAGACTGATCTGTCATCGTGGTTAAGTCTGTTTCAACTTAGAGAGACCCTTATAGGGTTTCCAAGGAGCAGTTGATGAGTTTGAACTACACATGTGGTTCACAGTTCAGTGCTGACCCCTAAAGCGCCATACCAGGAGTCCAAGACTGATCTAGAGCATCTTAACTACATACCCCTGCTCACTCTGAGTAAGACACTTGACTTATTATTTCTTTAAAGAAAGCCCTTTCCAAAGGAAAATCAGAATCATGAAAGCAGGCTGGCAAACTAAGTCCACTGACTTTTGTCTTTACAATCTTAGGTGGATGGAGACTAGTTTTAACAATGCCAAATTTTCACTGAAATTGAGCACTGAGTTTTTCAACTTAAGTTAAGTTTCCTTAAGTTTTTCAACTTAAGGAAAATTACGTTAGAGAAAGAAACTGAACTTTGTTCTATACTTAGAAATCTTACAATATTGAACAAGGAACCACATACAATGGAAAGAAGAATATAGGTCTTAGGGCTTTCCCTCAAACGGTTTTTGGAGATGAGGTAGAATAGAGAAAACAACACAGCTTCAATCTCTGTGGCTGAAAATAGCAAGGAAATATAGATTTATAAAAATCTATACAAATAAGGAGCTCTGGACGTATACTGGGGCTGCTAACCTCAAGGTCAGCAGTTCGAAACTACCAGCTGTTCTGCAAGAGAAAGATGAGACTTTCTGCTCCTGTAAAGATTTACTGCCTCGAAACCCTATGCAGGGTCGCTATGAGTCGGAACTGACTCCACGGCACATAACCACCACCACCACCATACAGACAAATAGATAGCAGGAAAAAGATGAGGCTTTCTGCTCTTGTAGAGTTTTACAGCTTCAGAAACCCTATCCAGGGTTGCTAGGACTCAGAACTGACTTGATGGCACACAGACAGTAAGGGGCCCTAGTGGCTCTGTGGGTTAGGCAGTGGGCTGCTAACCATAAGATGAGAGGTTCACATACTTTAGTGGCTCTGCAGAAGGCAGATGAGGCTGTCTGCTCCTGTACAGATATGGGCTTAGAAACACTAGACAGAGTTTTCAGAGTCACAGTTGACTTAATGCTAGTGGGCTTGGTTTTTCATACAGACAATAACCTAAAGCTGTCAGTTCAATGCTG